AAAAAATATTTTTTGTCCGATTCATCGATTAATCAAAAAAATAATCGGCCGATTCATTGATTTTTAAAATAATCGTTAGTTGCAGCCCTAATTTTAACCTTTCTGGATTGTGAGGACGAAAACTGTTTGTATTTGGTTGCAGCGCTGCCGGAGGGGAAATCTTCAACCAGTGTGTGTCGGATCGAGACGATGAGGCCTTCATGGAGGATGATGTGAAGAGACTTCTGAGGCAGATCTTAGAGGGAGTCTCCTTCTTTCATCAGAACAGCTTGGTCCACCTCGACCTGAAAGTCTGTCCAGTTCAACTTTTTTCTATACATGTTCACTTTGTCTCTGTTTTCATTACTCTGAGCAAAGGCGTTGTGCTGTTCATGGAGAAGAAACGATTGCTTCCTTTGTCCCATCAGCCTCAGAACATCCTGCTGACCAGCAGCTCTCCTCTGGGCGACATTAAGATTGTGGACTTTGGGCTGTCCAGGAAGCTCAGCAGCCACCATGAGCTCAGGGAAATCATGGGAACCCCAGAGTACGTGGGTGAGTCGCCTTCAGATCCATCCCTGCATCCTGCAAATGTTCAGACTGACTTCAGACTGATGCAGCTGCTCTGCTTCTCCGGTTTCCTTTTCAGCCCCTGAGATTCTCAACTACGAGCCTATCAGCACTGCAACAGACATGTGGTGAGAAGAAATGATTCAGATTTTAGGATTTTTACCAAGTCTTTATTTTCTCAGGCTCCATCATCACCTCGATGTCCTTGTCTCAAGACAGAACCTTAAGCCCGGTACAGGGCCCAGCGTACACCTGCTCACAATTATCTATTTATAGAAATGGCCAAAACACAGTCACATGGTGTTTCATCCACAAGACTTTCAAATGGGACTTAAACATTGTTTCAAAAATGTTTTTTCAGAAATACTTTTTGTTTTATAGCTGTGTAAACCAATACAGTGAGATTTAAAATTCCACTTGAAATGTGTGACTCTGCAGGAGTAATGCTACAGCAGGTATTCATTTTTACACCCCCCCAATGGCTGCCAAACTAGGGGTGTGCAAAATAATCGTCATGATGATGCATCGTGATTCTAATTTTCATGATCTACTGCATCGATTCT